ATCAATCTATATTTTTTTTATCCACGAATATTTGAATCTATTTGAAAGACAACCTGTCATGACTTCCTGTCTCATATTTATGAAATACCAAATGGCAGKTTTTTTTCCTTTCAAGTAGCAAACATGGACTTCTGTGTTTTTAATCCACATTACCAGTTTTTAAAATACCAATTAGACATATACACTTTAAATTTTTACCTACGTCGCACACAAACCAAGTTTGCATCTAAATGAGTTCCTTACAAGGAGAATGACCTTTTTAAATTCTCAATTTACAGCAAATACACAAAAACTGCAGCAGCAAAAAACAAAACAAAACAAAAAAACAACTCCCTAATATGTTTATTGGAACCTGAAGAGATAAAAAAAACAAGAAAGTGCAAAAAAAGAGAAGTGATAAAACACCAAAAAAGTTAAGTTTAAAATAAAATATGTAACTTTAATTTTGTATCTTTCCATTCAGGGGTCTATTGTTACTTTGAGGGTACACAAGTTCAAACTCCTTTATCTTTGGAATGGTGGAAAATTCCACTACTGTAACAACACTGGTTTAAACAACTGAACTGGTTTAAACAAATGAACTGGTTTAAACAACTGCTCCTTAGAAGGATGCTCTAAACTTTCTATCTACTGAACCCACAAAATAAAAGTGATGGAGACTTGTATTTGTGAYTGTTTCTCTATATTTTAATGTTTTGAAAAAACACTATCATATATTTAAAACAATTAGATCTCTTAAGATGATCTCAACAGCCTTTACTTGATGTTTCATGTGAATACACTAACATTTCTGATGACTTATGGACTATAATTTAGAGTAGAAAATATTTTTAGTCTGTTTTCCACATCAAAACAAAAGTTACGTCACGTGATTGGGCACCGTGCCGAAGCACGGCGCTGATTGGTCAGAAACCTGAGCTGCGGTGAGTTGACCAATAGGAGCAGAGCTCCAGCGCTGGTATATRAGCTCCGGAGTGAAGCGAAGGGGGAGCTTACACAGCAGCGACCCGGCCGAACGGCGACCCGAACTGGATGTTCTTGTCTCGACGAACGCGTCCTGACCAGAGGCTAGCTGCGTGGGAAAAGCCACTGCGAAGCGAATGAAGAAACAACTGATCTTCCACTTCACATACAGAGGACTTCTAACGAGAGGAAAAAAGAGTAAAAGAAGAAAATGGAGTATAAATTACGAAAAGCTGAACCCAAGGATGTGCCCGATATATTACGACTGGTGAAGGTGGGCTAATGAAGACCGGCCATTTTGTTCAAAACGCTGAGAAAAATAAGTTATATATTTTTATTAAACATTTAGTCAGCCTCGACTGTAAAGTGTTTAGACGCAGAGTCTTTGTGGGAAAATATGTCGGAGAGGGAATTTCCGTACGGATGTCTGAAAATGAGGTCAGCGAGAGCCGCTTTGTTTACCGGCAGACGGCTTTATGAACCGCTTGATTTCCGGTTCTCCATATATGGTCAGTCTGTCGTCAGAGCGGATGACCTTATCCTGACTGACCGTCAGCTGCCTGACCAGACTCAAATTACACAGGCCTGTTAGTTTGATCATTTCATTCAAAGTAAACACAATGTTAAAGTTTAATGTGAAAGGTAACAAATAACAGAATAATTTAGTCCTGGTTTGACCCGTTCAGGTTCTGTAAATCAGAACCAGAACTCCTCAAAGTTGCTCTGGACACTACTTGAGCAGAACTCAAACAAACTGAAATGTCAATTTAAGTTAAGTAGAATCAAGTTATTACTTTATAGTTAAATATCTAGTTATAACCAGGGTAAAATGTTTGTTGTGGTTCTCAGGGGAGAACCTAGGGTTGTTGCTTGGTGCTCATATTTTCCTTCACTCATTGAACACRTTTATCTAGAGGGGTGTCAGGGCATCTTAACGCCCCCTGTTCTGTTTTATGACTCCTTCAGCTGCAACGTCTCAGGACATCATGCCAAATCAGAGTTTTTTATTTTTATTTTTTTTTACTCTGCATACATTTTGTAAACTACCTAACCGGCCAATGGGCTGACCCATGGACATATGTCATCTCAAACTGAACATTTCATGTTTAAATGTGTGTTAGATTACACATGACCCTGAGATAAACAGCTCTGGAGTTCATCTGATTCGTTGAAAGCAGTGTCCGTTWAATCCATCAGGGCCCTGCTGCCCTCCTTTYACAGAACAACGATCCAGTCACACCAGTCAGGCTGGATTTGTTTGTTTGTTTTTAAGGAATCGGGTCACATTTGCGACCCTGCTAGCTGTTTTCACAATCTCAGCTACAATCTCAGGTACGCAGTAGAGCTTTAAGACATTAAAGACACTTTTTCTTTTTTGATCGTGCACCTGTGCACCACTTCTGTGCACCTCTGGTTCTAACCCTGCAGGAGCTGTTGTTATATAAGCATGTAGTACCTGATWATAGTCAGCCAACACAACAGATTGTGTTACTTTGATTTATCTGACAAATTGTCAATAATCCTTGAAAACTAAACCATGTTTTGATTTTCCAGGAACTTGCGAAATACGAGGATATGGAGCACCAGGTGGCTCTGACAGAGAAGGGTGAGTGTTGCATCATGTCTGGATGTTTTCCCTCAGCTCCTCCTCCTGGTTCTGACTGATGATTTATCGTGTAGATCTCCTGGAGGATGGGTTTGGTGAAACCCCGTTTTACCACTGCATCATCGCTGAACTCCCAGGAGAGACGAGCAGCCAAGGTGAGAAGTGAAACCTGTTTGTGTTTTCAGGAGCTCCTGGTTCATAAAACCTGATCCAAACCCGGTTCTGTCCCCTCAGATCCCAGCGTGGTGGGCTTCGCCATGTACTACTTCACCTACGACCCCTGGGTGGGCAAGCAGCTGTACCTGGAGGAGTTCTACGTGATGGACAGGTGCAGAGGTAAGACTCACCTGGTCTGGTGCAGGTGGTTGTGAAGCTGCTGAAGCTCTGAACTGGTTCTGGTTTGCAGGTCTGGGGATCGGGTCGGGGATCCTGCGGCACCTCAGTGACGTAAGCTCTTCTASCTGACTCATCTTTTCACGTGTGTGAGCGGTTCTGTAACCCCGCGTGTCCCGGTTCCTCCTGCAGCTGGCCATGAAGACCCGCTGCACCGGCATGATGTTCGTSGTGGCCGAGAACAACGAGCCCTCCGTCCAGTTCTACAAGCGGCGCGGCGCCGAGGACCTGTCCCAGGAGGAGGGCTGGAGGCTCTTCAGGTTCAGCAAGGACAGCCTGGTCAAGATGGCCACCCCGTCTGAGGAGTGACCGCAGGTCCAGGAGGAAGCCCCCCCCCCTGAGTGTCTCTGCTCAGACCACAGCTGATTGTTCAGCTTCTATAAAGGGAAAGTTTAGTTTCATTTAATCATCTTAAAGTTCACCTGTTTTCTGTTTTAATCAATAAAACCATCACACCTGACATCTACGTCTGTTTARAATCTGATTTTAGTCGTTTGAACTGACCCTCAGCACACAGCTGGACTGATGGTCGGGTCCTCAGTCTGATCCTTGATCCAGATGTTTGTCAGAGATTCAGGTCACAGTAAACCTCTGTTCACTCACTTCTTATCAAAAACCAGAGAACTCATAAAAATAAAATYAATAAAGAGTTAAACTCTTAACTCCTGTAGTGACCTTTCAGTTTAAAATACAGCAACTTGTTTCTCTGGAGCAGAASCATCAGGTCAGGATTTATTTATAATTATTATTCATTTAAATGTTTAAAGATTCGATTCTTTAAACGATTTATTCGAACAGAACCAAAAACCAGGCAGCTTCAGCTTTGACCTGTTAAGATTTATGTTGGAAATAAACTAAAATATTCAGAGTAAAAACACAAGGTCAGGATTTATTTATAATTATTATTCATTTAAATGTTTAAAGATTCGATTCTTTAAACGATTTATTTGAACAGAACCAAAAACCAGGCAGCTTCAGCTTTGACCTGTTGTTATTTATGTTGGAAATAAACTAAAATATTCAGAGTAAAAACACATTTCTAAGCTTTATTTTTATTCTCTTAATAAACAGTTTTCTCTGAATCTTTGAGTTTCTGAGCAGAAGAAATAAAAACTGAACGTTTGAGGAAGTTAAACTTGGATTTTAGCTGATGCATGCTGATCTCAGCTCATCTGTTTCCTGATTAAACTTTGTGAAAGATGAAAGTTTCTGCAGAAATGTGAGCTCAGCTGATCGAAGCTCAGACGTCAGAAAAGAGGAAGCAGGTTTGTTTAACAACCGGACGGTTTCAGGAACCAGCTTCAGTGTGAAAATACTTCATGTTCTGATGAGTTTCACTGAAAATAAAACCAAACGCTTCATTTTCATCAGTTCAGCTGAAGAAGGGGAAAATTAAACATTTCTGCTTTAATCTCAGGGAATAAAAACTCAACTTTAGTTTTATAATAATTAAACAGCTTTTCCTGAAAATTCATCTCAGTTTGGATTTAATACAAATAATCTGTGGGAGATTCAGAAAAACTCAGAACATTTTTAATTTATGACTAAATTAGATAAAATGCTGTATTTCAGTCCTTTAACTACAAAAATATCAGCTAAAGAACAACAGAAACAAGCTAAAAGTAGCACAGGGAAAACTGGAAGTACAAAACCACCAGCTAAAAGTAACAGAATAGTTGCTCAAAGAAAAAAAGATGAGCTAAAAGTGACAAAAGTTCTTTAAAAGCAGAAACCAAAAACAGCTGAAGGGAAAATG